ATATGTATATGTATAACTGATTCACTCTGTTATAAAGCAGAAACTAACACACCATTGTAAAGCAATTATACCCCAATAAAGATGTTAAAAAAAAAAGAAAAGAAAATTACCTGTCAATATCCCTGATTAACATACATGCAAAATTTTTCAATAAAATATTAGCAAGCTGCATTCAGCAACATGTTTAAAGGGTCATATACCAGATCAAGTGGGATTTATCCGAGGGGTGCAGGGATGATACAATATCCACAAATTAATCAACATGATACACCACATTAACAAAACAAAGGATAAAAATCATGTGATCATCTCAACAGATGCAGAAAAGCATTTCACAAAACTGAATATCCTGTTATAATAAAAAGTCTCAACAAAGTGAATATAGAGAGAATATACCTTAACATAATAAAGGCTATATATGATAAACCTAACAAAAAAAAAAAAAAAAAAAAAAAAACTGTGTAATCTTACCAGGATACGCATGATTCTGTTTATTTGAAGAAATTTCTGAAAGAGTATCCAGGGAATCTGTTACTCTGTGAATAAAACAAGTAATGCAAATCTCATTAGAAGTAGCTGGTCCTCAGATTTAAGACTGGTGCTTAACTGAGGTCTTCACACCAACGGTTATTTCTTATTTCACTCGTTCGACAAGCATTTACTAAGCATCTATCATGAGCCAGGGATGAACTTCAATCTAGCACCACAGACAGGCAATGTAAGCAGAGTAAGTACAGAGAAAGTCAACTTCAGGTGAATTCACTTCAAATAGGGGCCTGACTTTGCTTCTCTGGAGCTTTATTTTCAAAGATGAAACTAAAAAATGTGAAAATTTTATTTTATGTGAAATTTAACAAATGTTAGGTTATAACTGTAAAAACACCACATTTTTACATTGAAAAAACATCAGCTGAGTTTGTGTATATATGTGATTTTTCTGCTAAAACTGGCTAATACGATTCAACATGTTTTATTTTATACTTGACTCTAAGCACAAGCATAAAGGTCACGCTCCCGATAGGTCTGTTTCTTTGATACTCAAATCATTCTTTATTTTTAAAAAGCCAATCCTATAACAGTCTCCTTTTCTTCCAATTGTTTACTGACCTGAATCTGCAGTCTTCATTCTATCAATCACTTGCATCAGAACACTTTGTTACCATAAAGAAATCCTGCAACTCTTACAATATTTGCAGTTTCATCTTGCAATTCACATGCATCATTTTCACAAGATACATAACATACAGCAATCAATGAGAGACTAATGAAGGCAAAGAATATGACTTGATGAAGAGGACAGATACTTGAATTAAGCTGTGATGGAGAGTTGAGAACTTAATTCTAAAAGGGATCAGTTCATTAGAAATAAGTATGTAATGGTATGAACTGAGAATAAGAAAATTAATGCTATGCTGATAAAAACCACTTGAGCAAAAAAGAGAGAGAGAGAGAGAGAGAGATTAGATCCAGTCAGTGTCTTAGAATTTCTCTAAAGTAATATTGGTTGATATGTAAGTTAACAGAAGAAAAAGCATTAACCAGATGATACTTGGGTGATAGTAGAAAGCCATTCAAGCAGAGGAAAGTACCATGTGCATTCTGGGACAGGAGGCACATTTTTTAATGGAACCATTAAAATAAAAAATTTTAAAAAGGCCAGCTACAATCTGGGGAGGAGTACAATGCAAGGTGACATTGTGATTGGTCACTATGTGATTGACTGTTCTCTCAGGAGTCCCTAGTTTAAAATTCTTCCTTCTTGAAGATCAGTGTTATCTTTAAAAAGCTCCAAAGCTGGTTTAAATTAGAAACTCCTCAAAATCAGGCACCATGTCTGTTTTATTTACTTATAGAACGCCTAGCACAGCACAAAGTGCTAAAAGACACTTAATAGTATTTGATGATGATGAATGAGACAATCAGAAGATGACAGGAAGACAGCTGGATAGAGAGAGCAGTTCATTTAGAGAGAGAGCCCTGCTTCTTCTAAGATGAGGGGGCTGCTTTTAAATGAATCACCTTAAAGAAGACCAAACAGATGGCAAAAAAAAAGTAACAAATGTGTGTTCCATAAACAAAGCAAGAAAAAGAAGATAAAACCAGGAGAGAGAAAGAGGCTTCACAATATAACAGGGAAGAAAGCTGTTACAGCATAAAAAACACTGAACAAAATTTGATCAATATTTACTGTGCATACAACATGCCAGAATGTGTTCCTTGGGTAATCAAACATGAAACAGACAACCCCAGTCCTCATGACTAGGAGACAAATAAAACTTATGAGAGACTGTAGCAATGTGTTAATGAAGATTTGTTCAAAGTAATATGAGAACCCAGAAGACTGACTGGTGACTCAGTATGGATTTTATTCCCAAATCAATCATTTATAAGATATAGGTCCTAAAGAAAGTCACTGGGCCTCTTTTAACCATTATAGGGTAATGGTTAAGAGTACACATTCTGATACTAGACTACCTGAGCTCAAATCTCCACTTGGGAGCTGTGTACAACTGCACAACTCACTTAACCTCTCCGTGCCTTACCTTCCCCACCTGTGAAATAGGGATAACTGCAGTACCTGACACACAGGGTTGCTGCAGAGCAGTAAACAATACACACAGAGTACTTAAAACAGTGCCAGCACGTGTAAGTGCCACTAGCTACTACCTCTTTTTCTTCATTATAAAATGACTACCCAAAAAAAACCCCAGCAAACTGCCTAAAAGCAAGGGCTTAGGAAAAAAACAACAGCAAAATAACAAACCTGGGCTGAGTCCAGCTCCACCATTAACTACTGTGCGAGATCAAAATATCCCACCCAAAACATGCCACTCTGGTGCAAAGATTATTTTGAGCTAAAGACATTTGAGAATCAACAAATGCAGGAAGAGGCTTTCCCTGAACTCCCCTTATCTGCCTAAAACAGATCTTCCCAAAAAAGAACCGAATTGTCATAAATCCCCTTCCCGGGAGTTTCATCAAGCAGAGAAGACTGACTCTCATCACAGGAGAGGACATGAGGAGTTAACACCACACCCAGACAGACACTGTCACAGACTATCATATCCCCATCCATTTTCCTAAGGGCCCACTAATCTTTCCTAACATCATCTGCTCCCCAACAAGTGGCCGTTCTCCCCCTCCCTTTCCCCTACTGAGATGGTCTATAAACTCTCCAATCTCACCACTACTTTGGGCATTCACTGCTTTCTGCGATGCCCCCATGCATGTAACATTAACATTTAATAAGTGTGCATGATTTTTCTCCTGTTCATCTATCTGTTGTCAGTTTAATTCATAGACAGGACAAAGTTTTTCGTCCCCTACAGTAGCTATAGGACTTTAGCAAAGCCACTGTATCTCTTTCAACTTTTCTTCACCTGCAAAAATAGGAATAATATTACCTCATACCTCACTGGGCCTGGGGGAGATTTATGAAGTACATGGTACAGAGCCCACTGCTTACTAAATGCTCAATAACTATTTGTACAGATCCTCCTCAACTTACTACGGGGTTACGTCCCGATAAACCCATCTTAAGTTGAAAATGCATTTAATACACCTAATCTACTGAACATCATCACTTAGCCTCGCCTACCTTAAATGTGCTCAGAACACTTTCATGAGTCTACAGTTGGGCAAAGTCATCTAACACAAAGCCTATTTTACAATAAAGTGTTGAATGTCTCATGTAATTTATTGAATGCTGTACTTCAAGTGAAAAACAGAATGCTTGTATTGGTACAGAAGGGTCACAAATGTATTGGTTGTTCACCCTCGTGACCACGTGGCTGACTGGCAGTTGCTGCTGCCCTGCGCAGCATCTCGAGGGAATATTGTACTGCACATCGCTAGCTCAGGGAATGATCAAAATTAAAAATGTGAAATACAGTTTCTACTGAACTCTTATCACTTTTGCACCACCATAAAGTCAAAAAGTCATAAGCTGAACCACTGTAAGTCAGGGACCATCTGTAGTTATTCTTTTCCAGCTCACCTGACCAAATACTTATTAGGATCAAATGAAACAACATTTAATTGAAGGTATTTTGTAAACTGAAAAGCATTATACGTTAAGTGTTATAAAATCATAAACAATAAGAAAAGAATTATACTAAGTACATCATAGAAGAAGGAAAAGAATACAAAAATTACATGTAATTATTCAATAAGAAAAACAAAGTGAGAAAGAAAATGGATATAAAAACTGTTAAATCTGCCAGGAGGCAGTCACACAGTCTAGTTGGAAGGGAACAAGATGGGACTCCCAGGTTGAGATCACAAATCTATTCTCATGAATGTGACTATACCATACATGTTATTTCCTATTTAAAGATGAGTATCCCATTTCCCATCCACTGAAAAGCATACCAAGCCAACTTCTTTCAGCACATTAAGTCATTTCACACAATAGTACCTGGAATTTCATGAGGACTCACTTCTGCTCAGCTTTTTTTTAAAAAACCAGAGTGAGCTGGTACAAAAGTGTACTATCTTAAGAAGAAACACCGGGGAGGTATATTCTATATAAATCCTTGAAGCTTCACTTCCCCCAAAGATCTACTGCTTATCTATTTTTGAAAACTAAGGAAGTCAGAGGAAAAAGCCATTTTGGTTCCATTAGGTTTGTAGGAGAATGAATGGGGTGCCTGCTGGCAGGAAATTTAATGGAGTTAGGATGTGACTGAAGCAATCAGAGAGCATTTTTACTTTTGTTTGCATGACAGATTAAGCTTGCTGCTCTCACTGTTCAGAGCAGCAAACATCACTCCTAATAGCCTACACATACTCACAGGGTTTGCAAATGAGGAATAAAGGAGGTTTTTAAAATTGCAAATCCTCAGCAAAGCAAATTTAGCTTTCCATGAGCCTTCCCTCTGAAGAACGTGGTTGGTTAACCCCTTGAAAGAAGACATGGGCTACAGTCAGGGCATGTCTTTAATATAAAATTAGGGACTCTAACTATAACCCACTGCACATTACAAAAAGTTCTTGTGAATAGCGTAAATTTCATTGTTTCTCACCTTTGTACCCTGGATGGGGGAGCAAATATTCCATATCTCGGGGAACAACTAAAATACTGCACACCTCCAACTGAACCATCATTCTTGCCATGGGGTTTATCAAGCTCTATCCCGTACCAATATCCTAGAACAAGAACATGGGATTTTAAAAGCATCTGCACTTTATCCAAAATTGTTATGCTATTATACAAACCCAAAGTCTAGATGGTTTAACATTTTCACAAATGACCAAAATCCTCATGATCATTAAGCTTTCAAATGATAAAATTATAAAACAAAATTTGAAAATTTGAAAAATGAACTAGAAAAACATTTTACAAGCATAATTGCAGAGTTGTACCTTAGGGGAGAAAGATAAAATGTACAAACACAAATTTGGCAAGGATTAGCTATTATACCAGTAGCGTATGACCAAAATATATCTAAAAGCTGCAATAAGAAACTGTCCTTAACTTGGTAGTATGGTCTGTTTAACTTGAGAGCAGTGTAGCATGATACTGAGATGTATAAATCATAAAATGAATATGCAATCTTTTCATTTTACTCTTCCAGTATTAGAATACCACAAACAGTTCTGAAATAATTAAAGGGGGACAAAAATAATATGGAAAATATGACTAGACTTCATGGTGACTCTTCTTTTTCTTTCATTTTTTCCCTACCCAGGAAGGAAAAAAAAATCATTTTTAACCTAAATGAAAAGATTTAGGTTAAGTTAATAGGAGTAATTTTCTAAAAGGCTTTTAAGTGTTTAAAAGGACCCACTCTGAGGAGAGTAATAGGATTTCCTTTCCTAGAGAGCATAAAATTAAAATAGTGAGGTTGCTTTTAGTGTGGCAAATATTAGATAAATGGACATATACTCCTAGAGTAATGGCTCTGGATGAGGGTACCTCCAGTTCAGCTAAAAGTACCTGACAGTCCACTCATTTTTGTATTTAAAAGTAGAATACAATAGTAATTGTATGTGGTCTCTTAGAATCAGTATCAAATAAAAAAATATAGATATTGAGAACCTTATTACAAATGACAAAATACAAAAATGTTGTTCCCTTCAGATTAATAGTTCAAAGAGTCAATTATATAACCTCTAAAATGACAATCTAGAAGTTCTTAATTTTTTTCCTCTTACGTTCAAAAAGATGATACCTGAGTCCATTCCCGATATTGGAGTTTGCGTTGAAAAGACTAACGTAACGCGTGTAATTGTCTTTTATACTTAAACAGTCCTACCCTGCACAGGTACAGAGTGAGGTATACAAACCCACTGCGCAGCCATACTAATGCTCAGTCATCGCATTTCTGAGTGTCGCTAACTGGGTTACTCTGGTTGCCATTGTTATTTCTGAGTGCCACGGTTATAATTTTCCAAGTTTTACTTCCTTCTGCCTTTGATGCTTTCCTATATAATTTTTGCATTTTCTCATTTTAATACACCATATCACTGCTACATGTTTACCACATAACTCCTGAAAGTGTGTAGCACACAGCAGGAAGGCATTATGGCAAGTGTGAGCAACAGTGACTGCATACTGTCTGGATACTTTCTTTCAGAGGCGGCACTGCTAAACATGCTGAAGGGGCTAAACATGCCCTCTGTCAGGTCTAGATCTTATCACCTATAACAAGCCTAGATATTACCACCGTCCTATAGAACTGATTGATCTAAATTTTGATGCCACAAGAAATACACGCTACTTCTTTCTGAAAGAGCAGGAGGACCTCAGTGAAAAATTTCCAACTTTTATATTTGCTTATTACGTCTCAAATTTCTAAATGCTCTACACTAGGAGTTTAAAAATTAAAAGCCAACCTAAAACAGCTGCATCCAAACAAAACAAACCGTTCAAGCCTTGTTTAATAAAACCAGAGAAAGGAAACTCAGAAGACATGGTGATTGTGGAAAAATACCCTACCTTTGGGATTCCTAGGTTTTTATTTGAGAACCATATTGAGAACATTCTAACTAATCTCAATTACTAGCTGGTGCCCTAAGAGAGACATGAATTATAAAACATATAGCCCATCTCCAATCCATTAGTAGTTGGACTGCAATTATAAATGGTACTAATGAAACAAAAATGTGTTGGGAGACAATTCTCCATGTTTCTACATGCCTTATGGACAGAGGCACTGACCGTCTTTTCATGGATGTTTGTAGAGAAGATGGCCTTGGGGGATGGAGACAGAGTCTCCCTCGGCACAAAAGACAGCCATGCTTATTGTCTAGTACAAAGGTTCAGATTCCTTAAGCTTGGGGCTCCTCTCCTACAGCATAAACCACTGGGTGTACAGGTGTCACCTGGCCCTCCCTATCTCACCCTCTGGGAACTGGGGCTCAGGAAACAGAAGAAAATGCTGCCACTTTGGCTACCACTATTGCAGAGAGCACTGAGGTCCTCTATCGCTGACCCAGGAGCCTACCATCTTCTGCCAGCATGTATGAAACCATGGCAATCCAACTTGTTAACTTGCAAGTAGGGTAAAATCTCAGATCCTTCAGAGTTCTTGACAGAAGGCTACAAACTTTTTTTAAAAAAATCAATGCTCTAGGTAACCGTTTCCTAAAATGCTGCAACGCCACCATGTGTCAAAACAGCATATTGCTATTTAAAAATAACAAACATGGTTTTATTCAACTGGCTTCTGTTTGAAATTACAATCACTGAAAATATAAAAGAAAGATAATCTTTACTTTTGGAAACACAATGTTACGTCTAGATTGGAATGAATATATAAATACACAAACATGCATTTTTAAGATCCCAGAGTACGCAAACGTTTTTCATTTTCCTTTGAACCGCTTTGTTTGCTTTTCTCTCCAAGCCACTCTGTTAAAAGCTGTATGCAGTAAACTCATTATCCACTCATTTTCAAGATTATGCTTAGCACAAATCTAATCTTAAAATGTTTTCTCTGTTATTTAGCACACTTGGCAATCAGTGAGAGTAAAACTGGAGAGTAACAACTAATTTTAACTTTAGACAATTTAAAACACAAATGGCAAGAAAAATTCATTAGTAACAATCAACCTGAGTAAAAACAGTCTGCATTTGAATCAACGTTTTCCATTTTCTGTGCCATAGCTACCACCCATAAGAACTATTAATCAAGAATTCTCTATAAGTTTTATTTACATGCAAAATTTTAAACCTTTTGTTATCTAAAGAAATCAAGTTGAGCAAAGACTATACAGATGAGTTACCTGGAGCAAAGTTTGTTGTCCCAAAGAACTTAACGGTACCAATTCTCTGGCCTACCACCAACACTCTATCTCCAAGGCGGAGTTCTCCTTCACAGCGTGCATTATTTGCTACAGATGTTGCTGAGGAATTCAAACCTGTTTTGGGGTTGGTTGGGGAAGGGGATGGGGCAGGAAAAGAGAAAAAACAAAGGGAAACTCAAAAAGCACATAGGCCAAAAAACTGCTATTTATTCTAACCAGTCTAGTTAGTTGGAGATTTCAATATATGCTGCCTTTCCTTATACACAGCATCTAAGCTGTGTTTCTCACATGTGAGGTAAAGCTACTCAAAAGAAGTTTGAAGGGTTTCCTGAGACAATCATTGCCACAGGAACTTACACTTGATTCCTGGCAAAGTATCAACTTTATCTGACTTCCTGGAGGCACTCTCTACTAGAACAGAGGGCAGCACACCTGTTCTTACTGAAGGGCTACATAGTAAATATTTTAGGCTTTGCAAGCCATACTACTCTGCACATCTACTCAACTCTGCTGTCATAGCACAAGAGCAGACAGACAAAATGGGCACAACGTGTTCCAATACAACTTTATTCACAAAAATAGGTGGTAGGTTGGATTTGCCCCATGGGCTATAGTCCACCAATCCCTATTCTAGTAAAATGCTAGAATCATAGTAGTTCAGTGGGACTCAGTGTAAATGATACACACAGAAATGTAATTTAAAAGTGAAATTGCTATAAGATTCCAATTACCCCAAATTGATTTCCTTATTAGAAACAAAAGCACTCCCTGCCCAGACCTTGACTCAAACCTAAAGCCTGCAACTCCCGCTACTGAACATCAGAAGTCCTGGAGAAACACTGTCTTGAAAGCTGTTCAATTATAACAGAGAAGAGGTGGGCCCCTGAGGCTTCTCCCATCAGTGCATGAACAGATTTGAGTGGCGGTCATCTGAGAAGGCCTAGGGAACCCTGCATGAGGGTGTGGGATAGAGGGTAAGTCAGACTGTTAACAGGGGGAAACTAAAAACATGGTAACAAATGAACACAAACTCAGGGAGAAGGAAGGTCTGGATCAAGGGTACACTAAAAAGTCCTTGGCCCTCAAAATAGCTAACATTTCCCAAGCACTTCACGGTTTACAAAGCACTTTTCATGAGAATTATAATCATAGGTAAGAAACAAACTCAGGAATTAATGAAGACATGGTGTTCATAGGAGTCGGTGGCACACCTGACTTAAAACCCTGACCTTGTGACCAGAAACTCTCACGTCTGTCCCCACGCTGCCTGCAGACGATGGACCAAGGACAGAGAGGTCAACGTGGACTACAGAGGGGCTGAGCTCACAGACGTCCTCCCCAACCTCTCCCATCCCCCAATCCCTTCTCTCTGCTCCTCTTTCTTCGTAATCCTCTGTCCTTAGCTTCCCCAAAATGTCCACCCTCTGCAGTCCACATCTACCCCAAATGCAAACCGACAGAGAAAGTGGAATATCTACTCACTCTAGCAATACTTTCTTAAGGAAACATCTCTGGGGTTCAGAACTTTCTCTCACACATCTCCCTCCCCTTTTAAAAGGACCTCCTTCTCACTCTAATTGATAACTCTCTTCATCTCTACTATTATTTAGGTCCACAAACCCCTCAAATTTATAAAAAGAAAAAAAGGTTAAGTATGTAGGCACACTAGAACTATACCCTTATATAAAGGGTAAAAAAGATAATTCCATATCCACACATAAATTTTAAAACCAAGTCAATGTCAAAAGCCCAAATTCCAAATGAAGAGGGCCTTAAAATGTAAATAAAATGAGGACAAACGGGATTGCTACATCTGCATCTTTTCACCTCTGTTCCTCACAGCATTAAAGAGAAACTGGTTTCAAGGGAAGAGGAATCTATTCAGAAAATAAATATTCAAGCAAAGTTTCCAGGTTCTCCACTTTTAGGGCCTCAACTCTTAACTTTATTACATCAGTGTTACTACTGAGGGTTTGGGGTTTTTTCCCCCATACAATAAAGTATCTTAAACAGAAAAAGAAATCCTGTCATGAACATTTTCTACAATAAAATATTGGTTCAGTACAAGTATTTACGGTATTAGACAAAGAATCTAGTAATTACTATGAGGCTCATTAAAAATAAGTTATGGGCTTCCCTAGTGGCACAGTGGTTAAGAGTCCGTCTGCCAATGCAGGGGACAGGGGTTCGAGCCCCAGTCCGGGAGGATCCCACATGCGGCAGAGCAGCTAAGCCCGTGTGCCACAGCTACCGAGCCTGCGAGCCACAACTACTGAGCCCGTGCGCCACAACTACTGAAGCCCCCACGCCTAGAGCCCATGCTCCGCAACAAGAAGCCACCGCAATGAGAAGCCCACACACCACAATGAAGAGCAGCCCCTGCTCGCCGCAACTAGAGAAAGCCCATGCGCAGCAATGAAGACCCAACACAGCCAAAAATAAATAAATAAAACAATTTTTTTAAATAAATAAATAAAAAATAAGTGATGCCAAAGTGGCTTCATTTTCTTTCTATGCAGGTAAATAACTGAACTGCAGTAAATTCAATATATATGTTGATTTCAACAAGAAAACGTGTTTTATATATCCTTACACATAACTGAAGAAATGTGGACCGAATGGGATCATGCAGGCTTCACAGCAAGTTAAAAAGGTTATCACTGTCAACCTCTCCTACACAGTTTTAAACACTGACTTGGCTAAAAATAGAGAAAGCATGCTTTTTAAATAAGAAGATAACACAAAAGTGTGTGAAAAAGCTATACACAAGATGTAAAAAACAAAATTCAGAGGGATAAAAATTCAAACATTAAATTAAATGAAAATAAATGTAAAGTCCTATGTCAAGCCACAAGACGAAGAGACTTAGCATAAGGCTCTGTTTGAGCCAATGACATAGCGTGGTCACCAAAACTGCATGAGTAGCCTCGGACTGGACTTGTACCGAGAGGCAGTGGTTCAGCTCTCTACCAGCAGGCTGGAAAGGGTCTGGGGACCCTACAGCATGAAGAAGAGCTGAAGGTACTTGAGACAGAGGCGGACTCTGGTAGCAGCCAAGCATCAGACAGACCTGCGGGTGAAGCCCAGGCGTGCACTCGGAAACTGCCACGGTGCACCAATGCCTAACCTCCCTAAGCCTCGGTTTCCTCATTCATAAATTGAAGATGATCATAGTAGTACCTACTCCATAGGTTTATTTTGAGAATTAAATGAAATAAGGTATGTAAAATTCCTTTAATAGTACCTGAAATAGTAAATAACATGTATTGACATGTTAGTTTTTATTATTAGGTTTAGATTAGAAAAGAGATAAGTAAAGAAAGAGACCAGACCGTATAGTTTCCAAGTATCTGAAGATCTACCATAAAGTTCTACTGTGAACCTTACAGGGGCTATAGAGCCCATAGATACATGAGGAAGAGAAGAAGTCAATGCAGACAAGGAACAATGGTAGGAGCACGAGGGAAAGGCAGAGATCCAGAGTATGCTGACGAAGGGGAGGGAGGTGGGGGGCTGGGCGGAGACAGGGAAGGGACAAGGAGTTCAACCTGACCGAAGTAAAGGGTTCCTTTGCTCTCTTAAAAAGAGCAAATCTACTTACAAACAAACCAAGATAAAAAACACCAAGAAAGCCTGGTTGAAAAAGCCATAGATACCGGCACTGGCTCTAGATGAGGCAGAAGGGCTTTTGCTCTTTGTCTTCTTGTTGTTGCCACTTGCGTTCAGTGTCTTGGAGTGACTCTGCTTGTGCTCCAGAGAAGATGTAGAGGAGGAGCTGCTGACGGATGCGAGCAGGGTAACTAAAAGGGTACAGGAAAAGAACACATCAGAGGGTGGGAAACAAGAAGTGAACCAATGAGATGCTTCTCCAGGTAAATCCTCTGAAACTCTCCACTTAGCTTCCTCAGTTGTGGATTAACTAGTGTTGAATTAAATGCCTGATTTCATCAAAATATACTGTAGTTCATACATACAAGATTTTATAGCCCAAGCAGTTTTAAGGATCCAAAGGATCCACACTACATGATGGCAATCTCATACAGGAGAGCGCCGTCATGTCACTAACTTAGACCAACTACCTATCCTAACCACCACTGTCTCTCACCTCTCACTTAAGATGAGTTAGTAGAATCACATCTTATTTATATAAAAAACATACTAATGTGTTTTTAAGGTAACAAAAGCTTAATATTAAAATGTTCTGAGTTAACCAGAAGGCAAGCAGGAATACTTTTGAATTTTCTATTTGTGCTCTATTCACCCAATGATTTGACAGCAAAAGGCAACTTTAAATGCTTTTATCAAGACATCTACACTATGGAATTTCCTTTCATTCTCTTAATCTAGTCCAGTAATTCTCTAAGTGTACATAAGAATCACAACACAGGATTTTATACAAAAAAAATATGTGTGTGTGTGTTTTTTACTGTAATGATTCTTCCCTTAAAAACTTTAAACTTTAGCCTCATATAAGCTATATCACTATACTATTTTAAAGTTCAATCAGTAAATTAAATTTTGAAAATAGAACTTATAAATTATATTACCATCTTTCTCTGCTCCAGTTTTCAATTCTTCACCAGGAGGCAATGAAAGTGTTGATTGTGAAGCACTATTTTTTTTTGATGGCATTAATCCTAGAACACAAACAAAACACTTTCAGCAAGAAAGAATTTTCTTTAACGTTAAACAAAAATATGTATTTGCTTTTTTTTCTAAATTTTATTTATTTATTTGGGCTGCACTGGGTCTTTGTTGCTGCGCGCAGGCTTTCTCTAGTTGTGGCGAGCGGGAGCTACACTTCGATGCAGCGCGTGGGCTTCTCATGTGCAGGCTTTCTCTAGTTGTGGCGAGCGGGAGCTACACTTCGATGCAGCGCGTGGGCTTCTCATGTTGCGGAGCATGGGTTCTATGCGCACCGGCTTCAGTAGTTATGGTTTACACGAGCTCAGCAGTTGTGGCGCACGGCCTTAGTTGCTCCGCGGCATGGGGGATCTTCCCAGACCAGGGCTCGAACCCGTGTCCCCTGCATTGGCAGGCGGATTCTTAACCACTGCGCCACCACGGAAGCCCTGTATTTGCTTTTTAAAGTACAGACATCCCTCATTATCTAAATCTTATCCTCTTCTGAGAACACGCTGGGATGATAAATTCACAGACGGCAGGGGCCAATGTTTCATTATTTAAAGGGGAAAGAAAAGAATGTATTCCTAAGCCCATCTGAAAACCCCGATCACCTTCCCCAAATAGCACTAAAGTATCTTTTCCACCTATTTAAAAATCCACTAAGGAATTCTAAATAATATAAAGAATTTAAAACACAGCTATCTAACTGTCTGATACTTAATGCACTCCTTAGTGTGTCTGTACAATGCTAGCATGTAAAGCAAACCTGATACAGCTATGATGGCTGCACACTTACTAAGACCTGCAAACAACTCATGATTTCACTGGTGTGTGCAGGCAAATTCATTGTAGCAGACTGTCTATTTAGATAGTAAAATTGCGGTAAAAATTTCTGCAAATCATTATAGCAATTATTCATTTAAGTCAGAGTCAGATAGTAAGAAACCCTGTACTCTCTGAATGACTACCCGACTCTCACTACACCCAACTCCCCCAAAAAACTGATTTTAAAAGAGAGTTCATGAATAATACTCTACTTAATATTAAGACTTCTGTTTCAATTCTACAGAAGCAAACTATTTAAATAAGAAACCTAATGGACTACACCCAGTTTCGAATTCCACCAAGCATCCATTCCAATTCTACTCACTTACAAAGCGTTCTGGGTGAAGAAATGAGCTTGGCACTCTGAGCGTCGCAAACAAAACAAGCCATGGTCCCAGCCCTAAAGGAAGACCTTTTCAATTTGGTGTGGCAGAAAGACATGAATAACCACAATGTGAGGACATGTTTGATATAAGCCCTAGCATAGAAGGAGGAGACAATAATCATGGTTATAAAGATAAATTAATGCCTCATCAAGAAGATCCCATTCCAATATGGGTCTTGAGAGATACGTCAGATTTCTTCCAGTGAATACTGGAGGTATGATCAGAAAGAACTGAAGGTTGCCATTACGGATGGATAAAAAGAAAAAAAAAAACCTTAAAGAAAGAAAGGGTCAGAGAAGGATGAGTAGCTTGGCTGGAATAAAATGGATTTTGGGGGGACACAGGAGAAGTAACCTGGATAGATGGGCCACAGCAAAACCTTAGAGGGTAACGGTGCCGGCAAAGGAACCGGAGCTCTTCAGTAAGGAATGAGCCTCTGATGGGCTTTGGAAAGGAGGACTGGCATGAACAGTCACAGGTGAATAACATTACCCCGACAGCAAAGTTTAGAAGGAACCAGAGGAGGAGAGACTGGAAGCAGAGGCCAGGAGTGAGGGCCAGAACCACAACAGCAGAAACTGGGCTGGGGGGTGGGGGAGAGAGACTTTGTGAAGTCAACCCACAGAGTAATTTCTTACTTTCAGTTATATTTTTCAGTCCTAAAGTATCCGTTTGAGTCTTTCCTTTTATTTGAAAATTTTGAGATAACTGGAAATTCATATGCAGTTGTAAAAAACAGTATCGGGAGATCTCTTGTACACTTTACCCAGTTTCCCCCAAAGGTGACCGTTTTACAAAACTACAGGATAAAAGCACAACCAGGATACTGACATTGCTACAATCCACTAATCTTAGATTACCTCAGTTTTACTTGTACTCGTGTGTGTGTGCGTGTGTACATGAATTATTTGGTTCTTTTTTTATACCTTCATGTCTCTGCTGAAATTTTCCATGTCTCAAGAGGGTTCACCCTTAATTCTTAGAGGGTTATAATATATTCTTTAAAACCTTTATCTGATAAATGTCTCTATAATCTCAGGGTTGGCATCTTTTGATCGTCTTTTTCCTTGAGAGTTGGTGAGATTTTCCTGGTTTTTCATATTTTGAGCAATTTTGGACTGTATCCTATACAGTATGAACATTATTTTATAGGACTTTGGGTCTTGTTTAAATTCTATGGAGAGTGCTGATTGTTTTGTTCTGTTCTGTTTTAGCAGGCATTCGACAGTTAGCAGGCGGTTAGTTTCAGGCTGGCAGTTCCTACCCATCTTCTGTGACTGTGGCTCCAATGTCAGTTCAGTCACCAAAGCCTATTTGGGATCTGTCTCATGTGCTGTGCCACACAGTAGTCAGTCTAAGACCTGGGCAGTGGTCTGCGTGGTCAGACGCAGGCACACACAACCTGGCAGTAAGCCCACCATTCTGAGGTCACTTTCTTGAGCTCCTTCCTCACCACGGTCTCCTTGACACTTTCCTGTTCCCAGAGGCACCCCTTCCTGATACTCTGGGTAGAATGCCTAGGCTTTAATTTCCATGCTCTGTTATATAACCTTTTTGTCTGTTTGTTTGTTTTATTTTTTATTTTTGGCTGCGTTGGGTCTTGTTGCTGCACGTGGGCTTTCTCTAGTTGCGGCGAGTTGGGGCTACTCTTCGTTGTGGTGTGCAGGCTTCTCACTGTGGTGGCTTCTCTTGTTGTGGAGCATGGGCTCTAGGCACACGGGCTTCAGTAGTTGTGGCATGCGGGCTCAGCAGTTATGGCTTAGTTGCTTAGTTGCTCCGTGGCATGTGGGATCTTCCCCAACCAGGGCTCAAACCCGTGTCTCCTGCATCGGCAGGCAGATTCTTAACCACTGCGCCACCAGGGAAGCCCCTGTCATATAACCTTTTGAGATTGACTCTGCCTATGGGGCCAAGCAGTAAGAAAAAAGAAGAAAAACTAATGAGGATTCCATCCCTGTTCTTGGGACCACAGTTTCTCTGGCCAGAAACAAGGGTTCCCCTCCCTTGGGGTTTTAGGTGCGTGGTCATCCCCTGCTGCTATTACAACATGCAGGACTGCCTAGGGACTGCGGTGGGAAAGAACCAAAGACGTAACAAAGAGCAATCAAAAAAGAAAACAGGGACTTCCTCCACTTTCTGTCTAGCAGGAGACCCCTTTCCTGCTCCTCAGACCACAAATAGAGGGCTTCTCTTTGAGCTTTCTTTCCATATCTGCTGTGTACTTCTGGGTTTCAAGTTCAAAGGATACCATTTACAAGAGCATCAAAAAGTATAAAGTACCTAGGAACAGACCTAACAAAACAAGTACAAAACATCTGTAGAGAAAATCATAAAATTTTATTGAGATATTTTTAAAGGACCCAATTAAATAAAGCAATATCCCAAGCTTACAATTACAAGACTGAATATTGTAAAGATGTCAGTTCTCAAATTGATTTAAGGTTTAAATGTAACACCAACTAAAACTTCAACGGATATTTTTATTTTTTATTCTTTGACACTAAAAATAACATTAACATAATTTGTTAATTTATCTGTCTAGAAGTTAACTTTCTATTAAGGAGCAAAAATAACTTTAATTTTGTGACAAGCACTTTGTTTGAGATATAATTCATTTGTACTTGCAAAATAATATTTTCTTGCCCTGGAGATATATTTATCGCCTTATTTATTTACTTTTCCTTTTTATTTTTCTAATTGAAGTGTACTTGACATAAATATTATATTAGCTTCAGGTGTACAACGTAGTGATTCGACATTTATATACATTATGAATTGATCATCACAATAAGTCTAGTTACCTCTGTCACTACAAAGTTATTACAACATTACCGACCATGTTCCCTATGCTGCAGGTTCCATCCCCGTGACTTATCTCTTAACTACAAGTTTGTGCCTCTTAATCCCCTTCACCTATTTCGCCCAGCCCCCCATCCCTCTCTCAACAGATTTTTTTTATAGAAACTTAACAACTTATTCTAAAATTTATAAGGAAGTTTGATGTATAAGGGCCAAACAGGCAGGACCCTGTTCAAGAAAAAGATAGGAGGCTTTCCTCTAGATATCAAGATTTATTTTTTAAAAAAACTATAGGGCTTCCCTGGTGGCGCAGTGGTTGAGAGTCCGCCTGCCGATGTGGGGGACACAGGTTCGTGCCCCGGTCCGGGAAGATCCCACATGCCACGGAGCGGCTGGGCCCGTGAGCCATGGCCACTGAGCCTGCGCGTCCGGAGCCTGTGCTCCGCAACGGGAGAGGCCACAACAGTGAGAGGCCCGCATACCGCAAAAAAAATAAAAAGAAAAGAAAAAAAAAACTATAGTAATTATGAAGTGCAGTACTAACACAGGGATATTCAAATAGGCCAGTGGAACAGAGCAGAAAGGCCAACCAAATTTGTAGACAAAATCCTTTAGTCGTGGTAGAGTGCCTTTCTGCTTCAGTTATTGATGAATTAGCAAGTATTTATTAAGCACCTATTCTGTGCTATGTGCTACAGTGAATACGAAAGTACAAAATGCTCTCACAGTCCATTTAAAGTTGAAGATTTTTCTAACAGAATCAAAGATCTGCCCAAATAAAGCAACCAGAGGACAAAACCCAAGATAACAAACAGCAACAGGCTGGTATGGATTAGAGTGTACACGAAATTAGAGAATGAAGAGATCGAAGTGAGCTGGGTCATCAGGGAGGTTTCCATGGAGAAACAGGATGTGAGTAAGGAGGTAAAGAATGACTCAAACCTCAGGCAGAAGTCAAATATTGCCCAGAGAGATGGGAAAGTATGACGGGAAGAGTGAGGACCACGTACACAAAAGACAGTGAGACGTGACAAACCACAGCTCAACTGCGAAGCAGTGAGAGACTCCATCAGAGAAAGGTCTCTGATGGCTAGTTTCAAGAGTTGAGACTTTTTCTGATAAAAAAAGTCACTAAAATTCTTGAATAGGTGAGAAACATAAAGCTAGTTGTGCTGCATAAATAGTTATCAGAGGTATGAAGTCTAGCTTTGAGGTTAGATTGGGGGTGATAAAAGTATGGAAATAGAAGGGAAAAAAAGGAAGGAACAAATCTGAAAATCGCTTGTCAGGGATTAAAATCATAAACCAAGAACTTTGCAGGTTTTATTAAATTCAGGTTTCACAGGCAGCTAACCAAAAAGTGTGAAGCAATTTAAATACAAGGCATTTCACAGATAAAAGTAAAACACGAACAAGATATCAAACTTTCTGGTTTGACCTACCAGTATTTACTTTTGACGTTACATGAGCTACATCGATTTTCTGGGACCTGATGAGAGGTACAGCTTTTGTAGAAGGAGTGTGTGCTGTATTCTTCCTTCGATCTTTTGCTTTACTTATCTTTGAAAGGGGTGCAAAAATACCTAAGAGAGAACGCAGAATTTTAGTGTTAAGCAATTAAAAGCACTTCAAATAAAAGGACAAGTACAGCCATTCAGCAATATAAATCTTTAAGTTCTTTTTTAGTGTCTACTAGGTGCCCTGTAGTGAGAGACAGAGAAAAAGTACATCTCACTCAGTACTTGCCCTCAGGGAGTTTACAATCTAGTTGTCAAGACTAACAACATACACAATAATTCAAGAAGCACATAACATAACGAGGTACTAAGTGAAACTCAGGGAAAAGAGAATTATAATTATTTCTAAGTACTGGCAAATAACAGTGCACTATATAGTACAAAAACTATTCCTCGTGTCCCTTTATCTACAGCTCCTTAGAACATATTTTTTCCCATATTATAGCTTTTTATGTTCATGTTTTATCTATCTTCCAGACTTTAGAAGACAAAATCCAATACTCATCTCTGCATTCCCCCAATGTACCTAACTATAGTGCCTTACACATAGTAGGGATATAAAAAATCTTTTTGAGTATAAAACATAATTTCCCAAGAGGCTTAGCCCTCAGTTTCTGACAACTGACAACAGAAACAATACAGTGTGTGTTGTGTGGGAAGGTATGTGGGGACAGGGGGAGGGGGCTGCCTGTTTGCTGCAGCTAGGAGTATAAAATTCCATTAAAAAAGAAATTTATCCAGGCATAAAATTACAGTATATATAAATATGCACAGACATTAGAAATAGTGAATATGGACTATAAATACCAAGATTATTTGGCTAAGACATTTAAGAAGAAAAAATAAAGACATAATATGTACATTATACACTACCATTCAGTGTTTATGCCTAATCTAACAAAGACACATTATGACTAAAATGTAATACATTAAAACAACTTGTTTTAAAATAGGTTTGATGAAATGCTCAAGATTACAAAAAGTGAGTTCTTTGTTTATAGCTAACAAGTGCAAACTACACTACTTTTCTGCTAATCTCGAAATTCTTTCCTCCATCAGATTGTACAATCCTTCCTCCTGATTTTCCTAGCTCTTTTGACTTCTCCACAATGTTTTCTCTCTTCTGTCTCCCGCCTATCAGATTTGCTTTCTATTTTTTTCTCTAAATTATTTTCCTTGCCAAATACACACACATGCACACACACACACGCACTCAAGCTTGATGATGATCACATCCAGTGTTGCCAAGGGTTTGAAGAAATAAATTATTTTATACTGTGGGATGTAGATTTGTAAAATCTTACTTGAAGATAAAAATTCTGACCTAATTTACTTTATGGCACTAATTATAAGGAAATACTTATACTTAAGATGTGTGAACAAGGTTACAAACACGTTTGCATATTTTAAGGAGAAGATAGACTTCAAGAGCCAAAGCAATTTCTAGTTTACTATTATAACCCAATCATACTTTTGGAAATTAATTTACGAGAAAATAATCCAAATAGGAGGAAAAGACTGCATACCTGAGTATATCATCACTGCAATACTATAAGTAGGAGAAAACAATTATTTAGCAATAGAATAAATGAATCCACTATGTTTATGAACTATGACATCACTGTTAATAAGTAAAACAATAAAGATTATGTAGAAATATAGAAATATATGAAAAGTAAATCAAGAGAACAAAAATTGAGTTGTATGTTTGATTACATTATGATTATATCTGTGAAAAGTTGTATGTGTGGATATAGGAAGGACTGTAAAAAATAGAAAACCAAAACATATTTGAGTGCAGACCATAAATTATTTTTCAAATCTGTGTCATTAATGTCACAATAATATCGTTCAATGAATGAACTACATAGCTCTTTCTCCTTGTTTTTTTTTTTTTTTAATTAACTAAATCATTTGGGAAAACTAAAACTACATTTAAAGCAATGACTGACTGGATATAATCAAAGCCCAAAGTGTGCACTGTGTATGGGTTAACCTTCCTGTTCAGAATCTCATGCTACTCAAAGTACTGATGGGACTCTCCTCAGATCTTGACATACAACGATAAGGCTTAACTAAAAATAAACACATAAGGAAGAATTATTTTTAAACAGAAGAGTAATGAATTTCTGGATAAACATGATCCATTTTGTTAAACCACAATTCCTCCCAAAACTCCACTAAAATTTTAGTAAGAAATAAAAATGGTATAAACGCTAAAGAAAAAACAAAATGATAAAAAAAAGAGAAAACAAGCTAAAGCTTCCAAAGAAGCTTCCAAAAACAGGGAAAAGGAAAAAAACAGAAGAAAGGATGACTCTGAAACTTCTAAATAGCAGCAGTGGAAGCTCAAGATGATAGCTGGCAAACTATGGCCTGAGAGCCACATCCTCCCGCCGCCTATTTTTGTACCATTTTGTTGGAACGCAGCCACACCCATTTGTTTACATAAAGCAGTAAGCAGTCTATGACTGCTTATTCACTACAACAGGAGAGCTGAATAGCTGCAACAAGGGACCGTATGGCCCATAAAACCAAAATATTTACTACCTGGCCCTTTACAGAAAAAGTTTGCCAAATTGCGTTAGACAACAGAGTATCACCTTCAAAATACTGAAAAAATATGAATTTCAACCTAACACTCCTTATCCCACTAAACTATCATATGAAGTGTAAGGGTAGAAAAAAACATATTTCTGGAATGTAAAGTCTCAAAAAATTCACTCCCCATGAGTCCTCTGTCAAAAAGCTACTGAAGGATGTGCTCCACCAAAACAAATAAGTAAACCAAGAAAAAAAAATGACTTAGTACGAACACCACATCTTTCTCTTCATAGTATGAAGTCAACAGATGTCTAAAATTGGAAAGATTCATATATTATTTAAAATATGAATATGAACATCAGAAGATACATCTAAAGAAGTCAAAAAAGTTCTTGCCTCTAAAGAACAGGTCTCAGAGTAAGGAAGGGCAAGCCAGGAGAGGGTTTAGCTGTTGCTTTAATAAACCTTATAATACAACTTAACTTATTAAACTAGGGATATGTGTTCACTTTGGTGATTATTAAAAGACATAAAGATAGTATTACCAAATATTAAAAATTATAAAAAAATTTTCATAACTGCCAAATCTTAGAAGCAACCAAGATATCCTTTAGTAGGTGAATGGAGAAATGATGGAGGACTGTGATACCTCCAGACAATGGAGTATGATTCAGTGCTAAAAAGACATGAGCTATCAAGCCATGAAAAGACATGGAAGAAACTTAAATGCAAATTATTAAGTGAAAGAAGGCATTATTAAAAGGCTATATACTGTATGATTCCAGCTATCTGACATTCTGGAAAAGGCAAAACTATGGAGACAGTAAAATGGTCAATGGTTGCCAGGGGCTGAGGTGGGAAGGGATGAACAGGTGGAGCACAGAGGATTTTCAGGGCAGTGAAAACACTCTATAATATGGCAATGATGGATACATGCCCTCATACACTTGTCCAAACCCACAGAATATACAACACAAAGAGCGACCCCTAAGGCAAACTATGGACTCTGAGTGATTATGATGTGTCCATGTAGGTGCATCCACTGTAAGAAATGTACCCTCTGGTGAAAGCATGTTGATAAAAGGGGAAACTGTGCATGTGTGGGTAGGAGGTACACAGGAAATCTCTGTACCTTCCTCTCAATTTTGCTATGAACCAAAAGCTGCTTTTAAAAAGATCTTTAAAAACTTATTATAAAATTTTTACAATCAAAACAATCTAACATGTGCTAGAATTAATAGATCAATGGGACAAAACAATCCCAAAATAGACTACAGCATTTATAAGAACTTAATTTCTATTAAAGGAAGTACAACAAGCCAAAGGGAAAATGACAGATTTAGAGAGAGGAAAAAAAACCAAGAAACTGTTGCTGAAAAGAGACAAATGCTTTGGCTTCTGCTTAGTCAGGGGGTTCTCTGCCTCTCCTGCTCCGCACACCTCAAGTACTGACAATTTAGCAAAGACCTGGCTCAGACTACTGAGCTGGCTCAGCAG